ACCTTGATGACATAATTATGGATGCATTTATTTCAATTCAAGCAGCAAAAAATGCAGACATAAGTTTGCTAAATTTTTCTATACATCATGTAAAAAATCTAATAGACTCTACACGATTAAATACTACAGTTTTCAATTGGTGTCAAAATATTCGAGCCAAAAATTATGATGCTTGGTTACTTCCAATACACGATACGGAAGTTCACAATACAGGACATTGGACTTTATTATTAATTGTGTTCAGTCATAAGAGTCTTGTGTACATTGACAGTCTGCTGCAGGATCCACCTTTGCACTGGATCAGAAATATCTGCTCATTTATGGAATTAATAATTCCCAATCAGAGCTCTTCAAAATTAAAATGGTCTGAGTGGTCATTGTTTATTCCAAAAGATGTTCCGAGGCAAAGTGGCAATAACTGTGGACCACATGCATTAACTTGGAGTTACCTACTCTACAGTGGAGAAAATGTGACATTCGATGAATCAGACATGAAAGAAATAAGGCCGTGGATAATGTCAACAATTTTAAACTCACAGATTCCAGACTGTCGAAATTTATCACAAAGACGAATCACCAAACAAGACTTCAATTTAAAAAAAAATTTGCGGCACCAAAAAGATATTAAATTAAAGATTATTAAAAAACCCCCACTGGGCTTTAGTGCGACACTACAATTTTGCTCATCCGTAAAAGCCATTCTATCGGCACAAAAAATTTAATTTAATTTTGCTGTTAATTAAATATTTTGGATTATTATGAAAAAAACTAATTTCAACTTGTTTAAAAAAATTTATTATAGTTATTTTCGATTGCTGACTCTAGGGATGGTTCAATAAAATATTTTTTTTTTATTACTATATCTAAAAATTTTGTTTTGTTTAAATTATTGGTCAGGAACTTACCTGAAAATCAGCAGTCATTTCGAAATGTTTTATGCTTATTTCTAATTGTTCATAAAAAATTATTAATTTTTAATTCAACATGTTGACAATAAGAACCAACCAGTTTTATTTTAGTTTTTTTATATATCCCTTTTTTTAGTCTGTAGACTATTAATTTAAACAAAAAAGTTTTTCTGTGAATAAAAGTAAACAAAAATTAAGTTGGATGGTTGGTTGGTTGGGTGGTTAGTTGGTTCTTATAGTCAACATGTTGAATTAAAAATTTATAATTTTTTATTAACAATTAGAAATAAGCATAAGATATTCCGAAATAACAGCTGATTTTCAGGTGAATCTTAAGACCAATATTTTATAGAACCATCCCTAGAGTCAGCAATCTAAAATAACTATAATACATATTTTTAAACAAGTAGAAATTAGTGAGTTTCAAATTGTGGTTCTCAGTTATTGCCACTTTGCCTCGGAACATCTTTTGGAATAAACAATAACTATTTTTAATTTTGAGAAACTGATGTCATCTTCGTAATCAGCGACCCTGAAAACCTCTGAGTAACTAGGTTCAAGCGAATCCGATCAATTTTTAATGTTGTCGTCCGCCATATTGGATCCGCCATTTTAAATTTTGAGAAACTGATGTCATTTTCGTAATCAGCGACCCTGAAAACCCCCGAGTAACTAGTTTCAAGCGAATCCGATGAATTTTTAATGTTGTCGTCCGCCATATTGGATCCGCCATTTTGAATTTTGAGAAACTGATGGCATTTTCGTAATCAGCGACCCTGAAAACCCCCGAGTAACTAGTTTCAAGCGAATCCGATGAATTTTTAATGTTGTCGTCCGCCATATTGGATCCGCCATTTTGAATTTTGAGAAACTGATGGCATTTTCGTAATCAGCGACCCTGAAAACCCCCGAGTAACTAGTTTCAAGCGTATCCGATCAATTTTTAATACTGTCGACCGCCATATTGGATCGACCATTTTGAATTTTAAAAAAGTGATTTCATATTCGTAATCAGCGACGCTGAAAACCCCCGAGTTTTAAGCGAATCCGATCAATTGGTAAATTTTAAAACGAGATTAATATAAGTCGTTCTTTGAGAAACCGAGTATGACGCAAAGGTTTTAAGAATTTGTTTATAATAAGCTTGTTAATAGATAAACAATTTTTTAAAAAATGTAGAAATTTTAACGTAAAATTTGTGTGATTTCAAAGAAATAACATTTGTTTGAAATATTGTAGATAGTAGGGTGATTTGAAACGATTAATATAGAACGGACTGCTGCGAGCAGCAGCGGACCGCTGCCGGGTCGCTAGCTTCACGGCGCTAAAAAGAATTCACGGTAAGAAAAAATAATTCACCGTAACGTACCAATTCAGCTTAAGTTACCACCAATTCTTATCGCTTACTCCCAATTCTTTTTTTTTTACTGGGACGTCGAACGGACAAAATGTCGAAAAATTTTATTGACTCAAGTATAATTATAGTTAAGTCAATAAAATTTTTCGACATTTTGTCCGTTTGACGTATTGGCTGTTCGATGTTTTGGCTTTTCGATATTTTGTCTGTTCGATGTATTGACTGTTCGACGTCTTGGCTTTTCGAGGTTATGGCTTTTCAAAATTTTGTCTGTTCGATGTATTGGCTTTTCGACATTTTGTCAGTTCGACGTATTGGCTTTTCGACATTTTGCCTGTTCGACGTATTGGCTTTTCGACATTTTGTCCATACGACAACTTGCCATTCGACATTTTGTCTGTTCGACGTATTGACCATTCGATGAAAAGCAAGCATCTCTTTAAAACCATCAATTACTCTAAATAATTTTGACGTGTTCAGAAACAAATAAGCTAATAAATTTAAATAATAGCGCTCATTTTCATTTATGAAAGAAGCGACCTGCAGCTCCACCTACACATTTCTAATCTTAATATACGTTTCGCCTTTCTATTAAGATTTCACATTCTCAATGCTCATTCCTTATTTCGATATTTTTCGAGTTCCTTACTTCGAGATTTATCGAGTTCAGTGCACCACTTTTTTTTAAAGAAAGGATATGAGAGAGTCCACGCCATTTCAACACATCGACTTTGACATTTTTAATTTGGTTATGGATGTTCTACAATAGGTGCAAAAGGCAAGTGCAAGTAGAATTCCAAATGCAAATCCCATGAGTGCAAGAGAGATAGACAGACTACCTATCTCTTTCGCACTCATAAAGGCCTGAGCAGAATAGAAACGTAATCGGAATCGTAACCGGAATCATGAGTTAGAGAAGGACAAACAATATGTCTATCCATCTCTAACTCATTCTCCGGTTACGTTTGCGATTACGATTCCGATTACGTTTCTATTCTGCTCAGGCCTTTACATTGGCACTTAGTGGTTTCAGTTTAGGTGCAAAAGCCAAGTACAAGTGCAAGTCTAAGTGGCAATCTCATGAGTGCGAAGGGGATAGGTAGTCTATCTGTATCTCTCTTGCACACATGGGATTTACATTTGGACTTGCACTTGTACTTGGCTTTTGCACCTATTCTGGAACAGCCTTAACCTATGACTCGCCATTTGTCATAATTCTCGTTAACTACCGCACGCTGCTCTTATAAAAATTTAGTGACTTTATTGTTAAAATTAAAAGTTACTAAATTTTCACTAGAGCAGGGTGCGGTAGTTCAGGAGAATTATGACTAATGGTGAGTAGGGACAATGGAAACTAATCGAGTCATTCTGCTTAAGGCCAACGCACAATAGATTCGTGAACAAAATGCATGCGATAGAAAAGGATTCGAATATATCTCTGTCCTTTTCTAACTCATGTTTCACATTCGCGTCCGTCTTTCGCAAACCTATTGGGATTGGCGATCTAGTGACTTTTACCTACTTCGTCAGACATTTTGGTTTTTATTTCTCTTTCTATCGTGTTAATTAAAGAAAGACGAAAAGGAAAATAGTTGTCCGAAGTAGGTAAACACCAGGTGGCGTATTAAAGTTTAATTAATCCCAATTCTATTTAGGCCTTAGAAGTTTTTTTTTATACTCAACGGGGCGTAGAGGGGAATACAATTATCGGTTATCTCTCTCGGCTCGCGACTTTCAATGGCAGACGTCATTCCAGATATATATAGAGTTCAGTGGTTTACGCTTTCCGCCAACATGGGAGATGAGACTTGTGTCATTTTCTATGTGGAGTACTTTCACTAGTGGAACAGGTTTTGTAGCCAATGTAGAGTCAGCTTAAGAATAAAGTCTCATGGCAGCGTTTTGCGTTGCGATGCTACGGGACTTCCCCCTTATAAGAGACTTAGAACAGTGTCGAATTTATCAAATATGGCACCCTAGGCAATACTGGTGGAATTCCCATGAAAGGAAACGGTTTTTTGAAAATTTCACAACGAATAAAATTTTAAATGAATAAAGTATATAAGGTAGACAGTTAAAACAGAAACCATTGAAAAGCTTAATAAATTATGCGCCTAATGATTTATTTATTTATTCATTTGTCATAATTATAATCAACTACCACACCCTGCTCCAGTAAAAAAGTAATTTTATTGTTAAAATTCAAAGTTACTATAAAGTTACTAAATTTTCACTAGAACTGGGTGCACGGTAACCTTACTGAGCAATCTTGCGGTAACCTTACACTGCAATCTTTCGGTAAACTTACCATGCAAGCTTTTGATCAGGTGGGACATTTGAAGCTTGCAGTAAGCTTGCGGAAAGTTTTCGGTTCAAGTTTGGCAAGTTTGGCAAGCTTGCCACAAGGTTGCTGCAAGCTTAAGTGCTATCTGGGGTACGAAAAGATAAAAAAAAATTTAGTAAAATCAAAAATGTCAATGATATGTTGAAGTGGCCTTGGATTCTTCTATATCAAATTTAAATTTTAGTTAAAATTATTAATTACTTTTTTTTTAATTTTCATAACATTAATAAATGAATAAGTTACAATTACAAAATTTTTATATATATATTTTATGTGTTAAGTATTTTTTGAGATTCAAAATTTTTAAAAAATAAAAAACTAGAAAATAAAATACAAATTAAAAATGTAATTCAAGAAATTAGAAAAAAATAATCTAAATTGACAAACTTACTTAAAAAGTTGAAATATTTCATCTTTTGTGATATAGCCATCACTATTCAAATCATAGACTTTGAAACAAAAAGCCATTTTTTCTCTTTGTGTTCCACGTAAAAGTAAATCCAAGCCCAAAATCCAGGGTTGGAGTTTAATTACACCTTCACTTTCTTTGTCCCAGCAAACAAACATTCGTTCAATTAAAGTGTCTTCTGTTATAATATTAAAAGTATTGTGAAGTAATTCACGAAATATTGTCCTATCAATGCCCTGTGAAAACAAATTTAAAATATATTTTGTTTTATTTACATTCACAATATTAGGTTATAGCGTATAAAAAAAAAATTATTTAATTAACTTCCATTATTATTGAATTAAAAATTTTTGTAGAAATTATTTAAATTACCTCAGTAATCTGTGATGATGAAGAATGTCCAGTGACTTCACCAGGTTGTTTAGGAATATGAGTCAGTGTACCATAAATTTTGCAAAGTGACTCCAATTCAACTCTAAAAATTTGAAAAAATCTATACTATAATAATATTTAAATATTTTTTTTATAAAAAAATACTATTTTCAAATTATTTTTTAGATATTTATAAATTCTGCACTGAATAGTGAAGAAAAAAACTTTTTCTCAATAAAAAGTAAAAAAAAAAAAATTCACTGTTGCGAAGTATTTATACTATGTAACTTTTTTTTTAAAGTTTGAAATGGAAAAAAAAGTTTAACCCACAATCTTCAAGATAATTTAAGTTACTTTCAATTTCTCACATAATTACGCAGATGTCATGAAAACTTCAACTTTGTCGGTTAGCGTGATTCAAGTTTTATAAGCGTTTGCAGTTTTTATAATGTCCGTTAAAATTCAACTGCACTATGACGAAGATACTTGAAACTTGAATTTAAAAATTATAATTTTGACACATATGAATTAAATTAAAAGTATGTATTTTAATTAAAGTATATTTTCTCACAAAAGTTATAGCGTTACATTTCATATTGTTCTTTTAAAAAATTTGAATATAATTAGCCCAATAATTTGAATGAAAATATATATTGTAATTAAAAGAAAGACAAATTTTTATTATTGTCTCATTGAAATTTTTCATTTAAATGATTTTACAAAGAAATACATTTGTAACATATGTAATATGTAATTGTAAACGAAAATAGGATGGAATACTTAAAAACGATATAGAGTTGAGAAAAGTAATAAAACGAAATGAAAATTGAAAACAAAGTTGCACTAACACGCAATGATGATAGTATACATTACTTTTATGGAAAGCGCTGTAAAAATTTCAAATTATAATATGTACTGAATCTTTATTTATTTCTATAGTTTTATATATAGGTATATATATTTATTTTCCCTCTGCAAATATTTTCTATTTGCATACGTGAACAAAAAATTGAAAACAAGCAAAACTCATTGATTTCGATTAAAAAGTGTAAGTGAAGTTGTATAGTAACAATATTTTTCTAATATTAAACAAAATAAGTTTTTTTTGAATAATTTATTTATTTCACTGAAATATTAATTCAAATAATAAGAAAATGTAAAATTCATTATATTTTATAAAAACTTAAATTTTTTATAGTTACAATTTTACATTTAATTTACAATTATATAGACGGAGCGAATAAGAAGTTGCGATAGCCGTGGTTGTTGAAGTGCTTTTATATTAGGTAATGCATCGGGGGTTCGATCCCAATTATTTGTGTTCAATTTTTTACGTGCATGATATTTTTCTACATGAGTCAAATCAATATATAAAATATGAATTTAAATAAAGAAAAACGTTTACTTAAGTTAAATAATTTTTTATTTAAGTAAAATTAAGATATATTTGTATTAAAAAAATCTTTTCTTTGATACAAATAAATTTTGTCTTGTGAGTAAAGTATTATTTGACTCAATTAACAAAAATTAACTCAATTAACACTTTTTTAGTGCAAATTAATTCAATTACTAATATTGAATAATCAAATACTTGGTTCAAAAAATTTTTTTAGTTATTTCAAAACAAATATTTTATTAATGCAAATAAATATTTATTTGAATGAAAAATCATACATTATTGAATGAAATAATTTTCATTCTTTAAATCATTATTACTATGTTTATTTTTTTTAAGTAATTTAAATTTGATACAAATTATTATTATTTTATTTGATACGATAAAATATTTCGGACCAGTAAATATTTATTTGGTTCAAATTTTTATTTAATGATACAAATAATTTTTAATACGACAAATAAAGTATTTATTGCTTCCTACTTGGAAAATTTAGTTTTTTTCTTCAATAATTCGATGATCCTGGCATAATAAGCTGCACTTTTCATTTTAGGATCAATTCTTGTTCTTCTTTTTCTTTTATTTACAAGTTCTTGTTTTTGATCCACTGAAGTCGATTGTTGTCTTCTTGAGGAGACAGAAGTCTTACGACCACGCGCCAGAAACAGTGAGACGCTTTTCATGACCATGGCTCCTGCGGAACCGCTGATGGGCAGGCGTCCTGCGGCGCCGTCGCCGTTTAAACATTCCCCACCAGAACGAGATGCAGACGTCGGTTTCGCACTTTGCTCCTTTGACATTTCTTTTCTTTTTTTTTTTTTTTTTTTTTTTGAAAAAAAATTATTTCTCTATTAAGAAATCTATTTATGCACTTATAAATTTAAATTGATAAAAAATCATCTTCCTTTTTTTAAAACAGAAAAAAAAAATTTCTTTAATTTTAAGAAAAATACTGAATAATATACATATTGAAAAAATATTAATGACTAAAATTGAAATAAATTTATTCTTAAGTGCAGTGAAATAGAAATAAATACAAATTAGAAATTTTAATCAGAAATATGCTGCAATAAATTGGGCATAATTTTATTATCTGGGAAATTTTCAAAATTACCGATGTAAAGAAAATATTGTAGAACAGCGTTAACAAATTTTAGTTACTACCCTAGTGATACCTAGGGAATTTCAAGTTCTTTGACTTCTGATGTTTGTCAGTTTTCCGCGTTTAGTTTATAAACAACTGTTCACGTGCAAGTCTAATAGTTTATTATTATTTTATAATTATTATTATTATTATATATTATAATTATATGAATTTATATTAAAAACTATTTGTTAAAATAGAATTTAAAATAGGGTTTCAGATTTATGTTGGTATTATTAAATTTCCTAAAATTACTATTAGATTATAGGGACATTTATAGAATTCTAACATAAGTTGTCAATACTGTATTCACTTGCTTTTGAGAGAATTTCAGATGGATTAATTAAAAACCACATGCAACTGTCAATGGTGCAAAACAAAACGTTTTTCAAAGATTTCTAATAAACATCGTGACAACATCACTTGTAAGCAAATAATTATTGTTTCAAATTAAAAGCGATATTTTGATTTTTTCTTTTGTATGCATAAATGAAAGATAAATATCTATGTAAAAACGTTCATTTCAAGAAAATAACCTCTCAAACATTAAAAAAAAAAAAAGCCAATGGGCAAAAGTGGTACGGCAAAAGTATAAAAACACCACACTGACAATGAGAAAAATGCCGTTGTAACTTTACAACGTCTAACGTGATTCGAAAAATGGACCACGTCAGACGTTGTAAAGTTACCAACGGTTTGTAAAAAAACGGTATGTTTTGTAGAGTTACCAACGTTTTGTAAAATTGCAAAGAGACAAATATGAGAATGCGATTTTCAAATAAGAGGTTAGATTTTTTTTATTTATTTTTTTATATTCTTAATAATAAAACTCAGATGTTGAAAGAAATAATTTTTTATTAAAAGTATAATTTTTAATTATAATTAAAAAGCAACGAATATATTAATTAAAAAAAAGGAATTAGCTTTATGATCACAATCACAAAGATGACTTTATTTTTTTGTCATGAATTTTACTGGACTCGAACAGAGCTTTATAAATTCTTGTATGAACGCACATATTCATACAAGCCTTCTTGTTTATTAACTAAAGATTAGCTTATTTACAATGAGTTTGCATTTTTACAAACGATTGTCAATTTACGATCGTTTGTAAATTTACAACGTCCAACATGACTCGAAAAATGGACAACGTCTAACATTGTAAAGCTACAAAACAGTCTGTTTCTGTTCAAAGTATATTGCAACTTTACAATGTCAGACGTCGCTGTATTCCTAACCTCTGATTTTCTTACTATGTCTATAACGTTGTTACTTTACCAAACAAGTTGTAAAATCAGATGTTCATTATATGAACATTTTGCTTCCTCTTTACGATCAGCAAAAAAATTTGCTTCCTCGTGGAGAAAGCAAAATTTTATAGCCAAAATGTGAATTTTTGATTTTTTAACTTTCATTAATTCTTTAAATTTACCTTAAATGTATACTTTATATATATCGATCGATTCGTCTTGACGTAAGGAAAACGATTTTATTATATATAACCTTAAATTTTTCTATTTAAAAATTTTTTCGATTAAAAAAAAATTTTTGGAAAAAAGACGATAAAATTTTTTTTGGGGTATTTTTTAAAATCCTTTGGTCAGATTTGAGATATTAATATGATAAATGAGCCTACCAAATTTTATCTAAATCGATTAAAACCTGTTAAAGTTATCTTCTAAACAAAAAAGGGATCCACACACACACACACACACACATATATATACATACATCCGGACAATTGATCAGTATCTCATATAACATGTTTCTATAAAGAAAAAAATTTGTTTCCGCCACTTTGAAAAGTTTTATAAATGAAAGGACTACAAAGCTTCCTCCACGAGGAAGCAAAAAATCATTTGTGACTTTACAAACGGTTCGTAACACAGCGCTGACATTTTTCTCAATGCATTTTTGGCCACTTTATTTTATAGGTTTAAATTGACATGAACTGATTTTGATAATTCGTAGCTTTTGCGTAATATTTTTAAAATTTTATTTAAAAAATATGATCACATTATATTTGTTTTAATTCTATAACATTTTTTTTTTGTTTTTTAATATATATTTCTATAAAATAATTTTAAAAATTATAAATTTTATTTATCATAGTTAATAATGTATCAATTGTGATAATTCTTGATAAAAAAAAATTAACTTTGATTTTAAAAAAATAAAAATTTTTTGTATTTTTATACAAAATTTGATCTATATGTATAAATTAAAAACGTGATTGATGAATAAAATATGAATTATTTGTTATTAAATATAATAAATTCCAATGATTTATACAAATTTTTCAAGCAATGGTCAAAACTGGAGCAAAGATATTAATTAAAAAGCAACGTATTTATTAATTAATAAATGGCAAATGAAATGAATTTTTATTTTTACTTTTTTCTGCTTTTCTAAGATAATATTATTAACAAATTATTAAATAACAGAATATAAATGAAGAAGTTAATTGTCATAAATTATTTTTTTTTCTCATAAAAAAATCGCAAAGTAAATTGTATAAAAATTTGAAAATAAATACTAAAACTTATTGAGGAGTAATTAAAAATGATTGAACTCAAAAGTAATGAATATGAAGTAGTACCTATATCAATTACAATGATTCATTTGATGCCAAAAATGTTGAGTGTGATGCATGTGACCTTGTTCTAGAAATTTAACTGCTTTTGCATGTCGTTCAACTTTCGCATTGGCATAAACCAGTTTTCGATAATTTAACAACTAATATAATTATTAATATTCGTACTATCATTAGGTTCGATATTATTTATGTGGTAATAATCATGTTAATAATAAGAATTTTTTATGACAGTTTTTTTTAATTTATTTGTTTGTTTGTTATTTATTTATTTCTTTTTTTAAAATTTGTCTTTAACGAAACGTCGTTTATTTGACACTCAAAAAAAATAAATAAATAAAAAAAACTGCCCTAAGAAATTTTTACTATTAATTAGATAATATAATATTAATTAAAACAGTTAAAATAAATTAATATTAATAATTATTAAAATTAATATATTTTTTTAAAATTAATATATTGTTTATTGTAAAATATTTTTGTTTTTACATTATTTACAATTATAGATGCTCCAATTTTATCTAATAGTTGTCTATATGTTACTTAAAAAAACATGAAAAAATTGGTTTCTTATCATATAGAAGCCATTTTCTATTCTTCTCGAATAACAATTTCCGATTATCTCACCACATTCCTAAATATACATATGTGTTTAAATTTAAAGATTTTTATGCATATATGTAGAAAAACTTGCATGATAAAGTCCAATAAACCAACGAGATTCTATAACTTTTCTCATTAAATAATACATAATAGTTTATATTTATATATGTTTGCTTGGAGACACCATAAGATAAATTAGAAAATCGCGTTTTATGTTTGAAATCAATAAAAAGGTGCCTGAATTGGTATCTAATATATTTGTTTTAAAATTGAGGAAATAATTTATATAAAAAAAAAATCTAACAAAAATACAAAATGAAAAAAATATAAATTAATATTTTACACATTATTAATATAATAGTAAAATAATTAATGAAAATGAAAAAAATTTTAAAAAAACTTCTTTTTTTAAATAAAAAAAAAAACTTGATTTACTGTGAATCGAATAGACTCTGAAGATAATTGTGTTGCTCTTTTTCAGGCGCTTTTTATAGCTAAACATATTAAAAATCATAATTTTATACACTTTAACAAAAGGACGCATGAATATGTTCTAAAAATCATTAGTTAGATTTTTAATTTTATGGAATTTCATTTATCTTAATTATTTTTGAGCCTAATTGATAGAATTTTTATTTGTCCGAAATAGCAAGTCACCGAACAAACAATCAACAGAAAGATTTCGGCGCGATTTTTAAATTAACCAATCAAAATTTATCCAAAAAATTGTGATTGGTTGGTTTTAAAAATCGCGCCAAAATCTTTCTCTTGATTGTTTGTTCGGTCATTTGCAATTTCGGACAAATGAAAATTCCATCAATTAGAAATTTTGTTAACTAATTTTTCAGTTAAATAAAAATTTTGTAGTATGAAAAATCGGTTATATAGAAATTATATCAAATAATAATTCGAACAAATGAATATTCATCTGAAAGAATAAAATGAAATTCTACCCAATAAAAATTGTTTAAAATGCCTATTATGTTAAATGAAAATTCGAGCAAATAAAAATTCTATCAAATAAAAATTCGAACAAATAAAAATTCTGTGAAGTGAATTTTCGGTTATATAAAAATTCTGTAATATATAGAAAATCGTTTTGATGAAAATTCTACAAAATACTAATTCGAAGAAATAAAAATTTGGCTCAAAAATAATTATGACAAATGAAATTCCATAAAATGAAAATTCTAACTAATGATTTTTAGAACATATTCATGCGTCCCAAGAAAAAAATTTTTTTTAAATTATTTACCAAAATGTAAAAAAAAACCAGATTTTATCTTCAGTACTCTTTATAATTATAAAAAAATATTATATTTGTTTTAGAAATCAAACAATAATTAGGACAACATCTTCATTAAAAAAAAAAAAAAAGAAATAAATAATAATAATTCTCATGCGTTTACCAACACAAAGCATGAAAATCCTAAAAGTTATCCATTTTCATGTATGATAGCAATCAAAGCTTCCTCCTTAATTTAACATGAAATTCTCACGCTCTAGTTTAACTTATTACTAACATCCAATTGCTAATCTTTCCTTATATATAGAGTTTCTTTAATCTAAAATCTTATTCGTTTTCGCACGTTTTACAAGCAAATTCAAGTTAAAAGAAAATTGAACTTTAGTAATAAAAAAAATTATCGATTTCTATATATATAACAATTTTAGTATTATCATTGTGTTAAAAAGTAAAATAATAAAATTAATTTATATAAAATACAAATATTTTAGATATAAATTTCTATAAATAATAAAGAAAAATAACAGGAGTAGATTTTTATAAGTAAAATTTTTAGAAACTATATAATTGCATATAAAAGGTCTCTAATGTATATTGTGCTGTAAGAAATCAATGATGATAATTTGTCAAACTTTTACCCTATTATTGGAAATTTCTATTGAATACATAATGACTGCAATTAAAATGAAATAAAACTTACCCCCAAGTGATTTTGTCTTTCCCTTTCACGTCGTGACAAACGCTCGTGGAAATGCAGGACAACGTCGTCAATGGCGATTTAGCTTGATATCGATCAAACTTTTTCAATTTTTCATTTTATGCTTTAGGTTTATATATATATATTACGATTTTTATTATTTTTAATAACAATTTCAATTGTATAATATATTTTATTATATTTATTATTACAAAATGATAAATCAATATTATAATACTAAATTATTAAGATTTAACACGGTGCGCCAGAAGGTGGTTTAAATAAAAATGAATTGGCACTTTAAAATTCTTTTTAATTATGACTCTTAGATGAATAACAAACATTTCTCAATAGTTTTAAAATCAGTTTACGTGGCCGATTTAAATAAAATTGAGTTTTTATATAAAAACAGTGTTTTATGGGGAATCAGAATTTATTTAATCTAATAAATACTGTAATAAATGATAAAATAATTACTTATTTTCAGTTTTACATATAAATAATTATATTGCTGTAGTGTTTGTGTCCGATTTTAAAAAATTAAATTATAATGTTAAAAGAACGATTTTAAGAGTGACAAAATTTAATTAAGAGAGTCGAATGATCTCTGAAATTTTTTGGCAAGAAGAGACCTTTAATTATCGCTCTATAAAAACGGCACTAAACGTGAAAATGATAAACATTGATTTTAAAATACTTTCTTCTCGAAAGACGGACACTTTTTACAAAAGCAGCTAGAGATCCTTATCTTATATAAATTTCCTAAATCCGAAAGATTATACGAATCCATACAAAAACACGATTGCAAAACGAAAAGTAATATAATGAGGGGGTTCATTACCTCCTGCCGCCGTCAGATGGCAGCAGCATGCAGGGCGCACAAAGTCGCAACTGTTATTAGATTACTTTTCTACTTTTTGTTTTGCAACCATGTTTTTCTATGGATTCGTACAGTCTTTTGGATTTAGGAAATTTATAAGATGAGGATTTTGGCTGATTTTGTTAAAAGTGTTCGTGTTTCGAGAAAAAAGTATTTTAAAATCAATACTATTTCACGTTCAGAGCGATAATTAAAGCTCTCTTCTTGCCAAAGAATTTTAGATACCGTTCGACACTCTTAATGCATAAATATAAAAACGAAACAAGAAAATAACTTCATTGTTAATAAATTTATATGAACCCAAATCTATAACATCTATTATCTGTACGCATATAAGTATACATTAAATAAATTCTGCTACCTCATAAAATACTATTTTTAAATATTTAAAACTCAATTTGTTTTAAATAGGGCACGTAAGCTGATTTTAAAACCTATTGAGAAAAGTTTTTTATTCATCTTAGAACCATAATCAAAAAGAATTTTTAAGTGCCAATTCATTTTTAATTATACCTCCTTCTGGCGCATCGTGTTAATATTACTAAAAACCATACATGGGGGATTTCACGTAAAGTGATCAAATAGGAAAAAATGGTGTTTTTCTTATAATTATTTTTTTTTCTTAAATATCAAAATAAAATTTTTTTATCAATATTGGTCAATTAAAAAATTTGAGCCCAAAATTTTCTACCAGATATTTATTCAGACAAAATGAAAGTTCTGCAAAATAAAAATTCTGTTAAATATAAGTTCGAACAAATACTGATTTCTAACATTGAATTATAGTGAATATTTATTGAAATATATGTAGATAACAAAAAAGGTTCATTTTGTATTTTTTTTTTTTTTTGGTATTTGAATTATTTGAATTTATAATTTTCTAAGATCATAAATTTTCAACCGTATAAAAACTAAGTAGAACTATTTATCTATTTATACAAATATTTTTTTTGAATTGGAAATTTATTTAAATATTTTTATAATACACGTTTTATTGTTTAAATATTTATGCAGACAAACGAGCATCTATAGCTAATTGAATCGAAAAATCATAACAATATATATACAAACTATATTTGTATTTTCATTGTAACAGAATTCTAAATTTAATTGAATTTTATGTGACTTACGAATTTTTAAATTCACAGAATTTTAATTTATCCGAATTTTCATTTGTCCGAAACTTCAAATAACAGAAGAAATAATCGACAAAAAAATTGTGGCGCAAGTTTTTGAAATTGACCAATCACGAATTTTCTTGATAATTTCTAATTGGTCAGTTTTAAAAAATTACGCCAAAATCTTTCTGTCAATTGTTTGTTCGGTCATATACAATTTCGGACAAATGAAAATTCGGCTTTTTAAAAATTCTGTCAATTAAAAATTCGGACAAAATTAAAATTTAGTAAATTGGTATTTCTGTCATTTGAAAATTAGAATCAAATAAAATTCGCTTAAATTTAAATTCTTTGAAATAAAAAGTCATAAATTGAATGACTATAAAATAAAAAATCTATACCAAACAAAAATTCGGCAGCTAAAAATTGTAAGTAAAAATTCGTATAAAAAGAAATTTTGTCAAATGCTAATTAGAAAAAAGAAAATTCGTCTAAAAAGTACTTAATTTTATATAAAAATTCTATTATTATTATTATTATTATTATTATTATTATTATTTAAACTATTTATTTTCGTTTTAAGGTTTAATAGATAACTTTATTTCTAGTTTGTTTATGCAAACTTGAATATGCTTTTAAATATATTTTTTTTGTATAAATTGTATTACACATGTGTTTAATCAGCTATGATGCATAAAAAAGTATGCAAAAAGTAAAAAAAAACCGTTGTTGTTTGTTCATGTTTTTATATAAAACGTAATTTCTATTCATAATTACTCGAATAATTGTTATTTAAAAATATATTTATAAAAAAATTAATTAAATATAATATACCTTTATTGCCATTTATTTTTCAATGTTATAAGTGAATTACATTTTGCCTGAGAGTAAAAAATTATATATATATATATATATATATATATATATATATATTAATAAAAACACAGGAATTAAATTTAAAAAATAGTTTTCCTTTTTTTGAATTATTTGCATAATATATCATTTTTTATAATTATAGGTATATATGTATATTAAAGAATTATTCTTAATTATTAATTAATTATTTTTAATTTAAATTAATATTAAATTGTTTAAAAAACAAATTATTTCAATTTCATTTCTAAACCCGTTATAAATCAACTGTCATTAAAAAAAAAAAGGAAAAAAAAATGACTGATAATGATCTATCGACGTATGTTATTAAATACGTTCGAGTATCCTGTTTTAAAAAACAATTACTTCCTTTGATTTTGCAATTGTAATTCGTATATAAACAAAAATATTAATCAATAGTAACCGCAGTTTATTAAATCAATGTATAGCAAGAAATCAGGAAATAAAAATCATATTTTTTTAAAAGGCAATTTATAACTTAATTCTTACAATTAGTATTCTAATTGACTTAAATGATTCATGGTTATTACTTTTTTTTTTATAACATGCAGATTAGTTTACGTCAAAATTTTTTAAATTTAAATTCAAAATGCCTAGAAACAGTTTCATTAATATTATCACTATAAAACAATTTTATTAAATTTAAATCAATATATAAAGCAAATAAAAACTGCAGTGACGTTAAAGAATATCAGTTTATTCAAAGAAATAGAGGATCAAACAAATACCCCCCCCCCCACCCCAAGAAATTAGAATAATTATAATGTTTTTACAAACGCAAACATATTTTTTACAATTTAATATTGTATAAGAACCTTGAAAGCTGTTCTTCTGATATAATATATTTATTAAATTAATTGCACGAAAAAAAACTATTTACATATATACTGCTACTTTTATTTTCATTAATTATAATAATAATAAATAATTTTTATTCATAAATTATGAGCCATTTTCATTTTTATATTTTACTACATTTTACATTAATTCTCTCTTTCTCTCACGTACACAAGCATACACATATATGAATACAGTTATTATTATATATATAAATATAATTCTTTAAATTATAAATGTTGTATAGTCTATTTTGTTTTAAAAACACAATTTCTGATGAACACATTATAAAAATTGAACAGCTTCTCATCGACCGTAACTGGATCTGTAAAAAATAAAAAAAAAAGTGTTACTTATTCTATTGTAAGATTTTTTGCTAGAGAAAAAAAATAGTTTGTTTTTTTTCTCAAACTAGTTTGGACAAATTGCTTCGCATTGCATAACCTTAAATTCCTAAACAAAATTGTCTTTTACTTTAATTTAATAATTTTTTTTTACTTTTTAATTTTTTAATAATTTAATTTATTGAAACTGGAAAAATTATTTTTTAAAAATATTTATTGTTCAATATTATTATTATTATTATTATTATTATTATTTAACAAATTTTTAACAAAAATTCTTCTCTAAATTAATTATTTTTAATTATTTCAATGAAAAATTTTTCACGAATTCAATTATCTTAAACTATTTTTCAATTAAAAATTTTATGAAATTCAATAGTCAATTAAAAAAAAAAGAATTAGCAAATAATGTACCAAAAATTTCAATTCAAAATCACTTAAAATTCAATTACTTTTAAAAAATTTCAATTTAAAACCTTCTAAAATTTAATTATTTCTAAATATAATTTTCCATCTAAAATTTTCTGAAAAATAATTTCAACTATATAACTCTTTTAATTAATTAATTAAATTTTATAATTTTATATTAATACTATGAAAGATACAAATATAAAATTCACAAAAATTCAATACGCTATGTAGATAATTGTTATTTTTTTTTTTTAAAAAAATCTGCATTTGATTAAATTATTGAATTAAAATATAACTTATACATTGAAATTTGTATAAAAAAATTTTTTTAAAATAAATAAAAATTTATTTTATTGAAAAAAAAAAATTTACCCAGCATTAGCATTTGCATTTGCATACGATCCATATGGATTACTTCCGGCATTTGCTGAACTTTGGGCATTTGAATTTCCACCATAACCTCCTTGTCCGTATCCTCCCTGTCCATAACCTCCGTGTCCATGACCTCCTTGTCCATAACCACCTTGTCCATAACCACCTTGTCCGTGACTACCATGTCCATGACCGTGACCACCACCTCCGTATCCACCATGACCACCGCCTAATAATCCTTGAAAATGATGATGTCCGTGACCAGAACTTCCTCCATAACCATATCCTCCTCCATATCCTCCATATCCACCACCACCACCACCGCCACCATGATGATGATGGTGATGAGGATCAGCTGCTCGTTTTATTCTTGTCAACATATCTGCTTAAAATTGATTATATCATTAATTTCATACTCAAAAATGAATAATAATAATAATAATAATATACGCTGGGCGATTCTCCAAAAAGAGGAAATTTTCACGTTTAGGGCACACATTAATTTCCCATAAAAATCAGAAATTAGAATTTTTATTTTAAAGTATTTTTATAAGGCTGAAGTCCACAACGTTTTCAAAAACGAAAAATTAAAATAGAATTATTTTTTCATGTCAATTTATATCTGTAATTTTGATTTGCACAAACTTTCAAGAAATTAATAATTTTATAAAAACCAGTTACCCACGAATAACTTTAATTTTAACCCAAATCAATAGGGTAACGGCACCAGTGAAAGAACATTTAAGGAAATGCATACTTTTATCATTTATTATTTTTGAATGCAGTTATTGAAAATTTTTTTACCAATTTTTTTTCGATAGCTAATTAAGTGTAGAATGCGAAGGTCATATTTAATTTTCATAAATATAAGTTGTTAATTAAAATTTTAATTAATAAGTAAAACATACCTATATTTCACCAGTGAAAGAACAAATTGTCTAATGAAAGAATTTTCTGCATCCAGTGAAAGAACAATGTGAAATATATATTTAAAATATATTTAAAAAATATATTAAAACAAAGATAAAGTAATAAAATGTTTGTAATATACTAAAATAAAGGTAAATTAATGATAATTATGAATATTTTTTAACTAAGTTTGCAGAATCTTATTTTTAATTGAAAATGCATTTATAACCTACAATCAATCATCTAGTTGCAATTTATTTTGACAATATTATTGTAACCTAACAGTGTTAACCTATTTGATTTTGTCATTTTTTTGTTTGACTTCAGACTATTCGTTGAAGGTGTTCCTTCATTGGATTGCATTGGAACCAGTGAAAAAACATTTCTGTTCTTTCACTAGTAAATAAAAAAAAAACCCCAATGACGGAATTTGCTTTTCTTATGGCAAATTAATATTTTATTAGCTTTTAAATGAAAAGAAGTATTTCTAATACACAAGATAAATTTAGTTTAAAGAAGACCGACGATTTAAGGCAGTTTAAATTAGTTAAATGTGAAAAAAGAAATAACGTGTCAGAGAAGAGTTCTTATTGTTGAAGATAAATTTGCAACACAACATTTTTAAAAATTTTTTTTTATAAAATTTACGTGTTAACTCTCTAGGTATCTTAGATACTAAAGACGTAAATTAAATAAGGAACATAAAAAATATATAATTTATAATACCAAATTGCTTATTACACTAATTAGAATGGAAAACATGAAATTTGTTCTTTCACTGGTGTCAGTTCCTTCACTGGTGCCGTTACCCTAGATATTGTCTAATTATTTTTTCGTTTTCGTTTATAAAAACGTTGCGGACTTCAGCATCATGTATTTTTAATAGAAATAATTATTTTATAGACAAATTATCATTTTTCTAATTAGCATTTGAAACAGGGACTTGCCCGAATCATTCGTGTTGTTTCCGTTTCTGTTCTGTACACAACACATTTACACATCGACTAATGTGTTGATAAGACACATTTCTACATTGATTATCGTTTCGTGTTAGGACACGACACATTTTCTCATCGAATAATGTTTCGTGTCCGGATCCGATACTTTTGAAATAAAGAAATGTTTTCGTGTCCGAACACGGCACATTTTCTTGTCGAGTAACGTTTCGTGTCAGAACACGACACATTATCACATCGAATATCATTTCGTATCAGAACACGATACATTTTCTCATCAATGTTTCATGTCTAGTCACTGAAACATTTAATTATTTAATTTAATTAATTTAAATAATTTATTATTAATTTAATTAAATTTTTCATCTTTGTGATGGGAGAGGAGAGGAGAAAGGAGAGTTGCTAGTTTTTGGGATCACTGAATCCAAATCTAATTTCAAAAATGAAAAAAATCAAAACGGCGGATCGGACACGAAAACATTTCATTATTTTAAAAGTATCGTGTCTAGACACGAAAACATTTAATTTTTTCAAAAGTGTCTGGTTAGAACACGAAAACATTTAATTAATTTAAAAGTGTCTGGTCAGGACACGAAAACATTATAAATTATTAAATGTGTTTGTGATTGACCACGACACAACACAAAATTGATTTGGCGTTTTGTTTCGTTTCCGTGTCAGTCTCTGATTTGAAAAAATTTCTTTTTATACGAATTTTTATTTAAAACAAAATTTTTAGCTACCGATTTTTTGTTTGGCAGAATTTTTTATTTTAGTCATTTTCATGACATGTCTTTTTAATAAAAATAATTTTAATTTAATAAAATTTTTATTTCAAAGAATTTTATGCTATTCGAATTTTTAAATAACATAAATTCCATTTGAACGAATTTTAATTTGTCCGAATTTTTATAATTAATAGAATTTTTAAGACGCCGAATTTTCATTTGTTCGGAATTACAAATGACCGAACAAACAATCGACAGAAAGATTATTCGCGGCTCAATTTTAAATTGTATTCACAGAAAATTAAAAGGCATTAAAATAAGCTGCAACGCTTTTTATTTTAATCCAATTTTTAAATGACAGAAATTCTATTGAATGAGAATTCTGTTTAATTAAAATAGGATTTAATAAAATTAAAAAAATTTGTTGTATAAAAATTCGTATAAAAAATAATTGAATTAATAATATATTATAAATTATTTCTCATATTAGGTTTCAAAATTTGAATTAGCACAAATTTTAACTAATTTGAATTAGTGATTGACTTTTTTTGCTATGATAATTACTTTAATTTTACTAATTTTACTATTATTTTTAATTCATTAATTTAAATAAATTACTAAACAAATATTTTTTTTTCGCTAACTCATTAGTAAATTTTAATTAATTCATAGCAAAAAGTAAATTACTAATTCGAATTAAAAAATATAATAAATTTTGAATATTATTTCGTTACAAAAACTTTTTTAGAGTGATATATGCAAGGTACAGTGGGACCTCGATTATCCAAACTAACCTATATAGGCAGGAGCGGGTTCGCATAATAGAAATTTCAAATGTTTTTATATGTAAAACAATGTCACAGTTAAACTATAAATAATAAAAAAATAAAATATTAATATTATAATATATTTAAATATTTATTAAATATATATTAAATAATAATTAAGATATAAATACATTAATAAAAAGAAAAACGATTTTTTAAAGATTACTTTGAAATAAATTTTATTATTTTGCTTTGGAAAATTGAATCTATTCGTTTTTTTAGCGAAATTTAAATGATGAAATTTTAAAAATGAAAAAATATATAAAAATAAATTTTAAGATTCGGAAAGACAAAAAAAAAGTTCGGATAACAGAAGTTCGAATAAAATGTTTTACGGTTCGGATAACAGGGGGTTCGGATAATCGAGCTTCAACTGTACTCTCTAAATTTGAATCAGCGATAAGTATACCACTGGTACCAATCAGCGGATATACGCTGAAAAATCAGTGAAATTTCACTAATTCATCAGTGCATATAAGCTGATTGGAATCAGTGGTATACTTATAGCTGAGAATCAGCGAGATTCCGCTGATTCAAATTTAGAGAGTATAAATAATTTTACAAATTGTTATTTTTTAATGCTTAAAAAACACAAAAAAATTACTATAGAGTGAGAAAATGTTTGATTCTAATAATGATATCTTCAAATTTTGGCGTTAACTAACTAATAATGTTTGAATTATAATAAATAATAATAATGAAAATAATAATAATAATAATAAATCGTTACCATCATTTTCAAATTGTGCTGGAAAAGCAAATGTCGTTGACACAATGGCAAGAAGAAGTACCATCAGATATTTGGCCATATTTTTCAAATAGTATCAACTGTCACAATAATTAATAAATTATTTAAAAACAAGACTTGTGAAAAACACAGTTTCTAAATGAGAAATGATGCTGTAGATTCGAGACATATGAATTTATATACACACAAATAGGAGGCCATCTATTTTTATGACTAGTTTTGCGCAGGTGTCGGCGATTGTGTGGTGGGGTTTTGGGACTCTTTAATCATTTGCAAAGCTACAATAAACTCATCTTTTTTTTTTTTTTTTTTTTACCACTGAGATATGTTTATTATATTGAAAGGGTCATTCGCATGACCATGAGACATAAATTTCCGAATCTCTTCACGCTAAATTAAACCCGGGATTGATGTGACAAAGAAATTTTTTTTCAAAGAACATGACTTAAGGGAATTTTTTTTGAATTATTTTTTTTTTCTTTATTATTTTCTTTGTTTTTCAATAAAATATTATTTTTCTCTCTATATATATATATTGTAAAATATTTAAATTTATCAGTTTACGGGATAACAAAATTTTCCCTTTCTTACAAAGTTTGATGAATAGAGAAAAATGAAAATTGTAAAATATAACGAGAAACGGGACCTATCTCCGAAATAACATTAGGCTTAGTTTTCCATGTACAGTGCACGGTAAACTAAGCCTAATGTTATTTCGGGAATAGGTCCCTTTTCTTGTGCTATATATTTTTGTGTATGTTAAACATATTAATCGTTTTGTTACCATTTACATGAAAATTGTTCATTCAATAATAATAATACAGAATTCATTAAGTAATAAATTAATAATGTTAATATATTATTTTTAAACTATTGATTATTCGCGCAAAAATTTAATCATATATATATTCGCACGTTCTGTGGAGATCCCCAGAGCTATTAAATGAGTCATCAAAGAGAAATCATTAATCTCGAACTGATGCTAATGTTATAAAAAATATGAATTGTGAAAAACATTAGATAAAATATGACTTGTAAATTAGTCTCTCGCAGTTAAACGATACCATTCAAAGAATTTCTTAATTTGTTAAGTCATCGTCATGAAGAACTTCCTTCCACTATTTATTCGACGCAATTTTCCATAACAAAACATGAATTTTTTTTTTTTTTTATTATTAGAGGATGAAAAATTGGATAATTGATAATTGCAGTGTTGATCAAACAATTCTACCGTGAAAAATATTATTTACATTTAAACCTAAATTCAAAACAAACTCGATTTTAGACAAATGATGATAATAATATTTTACACGCATAAGAATTTTTGTATAAAAAATGCATTTTTTAAAAACACATGGTTTGTATTTTGTATTTATTAAACTGAATTAATTTTTTTAACATGCATATGTACTTATTTACAATGTTAAAAAACTCTTTATTAAAAATATTTTTTATATGAAGCAAATATATATATGCATAACCAGTATTGAGATTTAATATAAATTCTCATTGAATCCAATATACATCTACATTAAATTTAATGTAAATGTATATTAAAATTTTTAAAAATGTATATTAAATTTCAATACTGGTTATGCATAATATTTGCTTTATAATATATTAAATTTAATACAGATTTTTCTAACAGTATGTTTTTCTAACGTGTTGACTTTAATTGAAACTTGATTATAATTTTTTTATCACGAATCTTCAGACACATTTTATTTTTTAAATACCTAAATGCTAAAAAAAAAATTGTTTCTAAATTTTTATCATCAAAAATGGACTATATAGATGTGCAGAAAAAAGCTTATTTTTAAAAAATAAATAAAATGTAAACAAAATTTTTATTTCAAAAATTGTTAACTAGAATATTGTGAATATTTGCAAAATTAGCAAAATTATTATATCTATTATCACTTGTATCGACTTATGCGTCACGAATTTTACGTAAAAATGAGGGGAATTCCTTTTCAAAAAATTTTCAAAGTTCAACGAAGCGAAACAGACAAAAGGCAAACGAACATGTAAGATGATTTATAAATTCTTAATAAAAAAGTGTTAAAAAAAATAATGCTTGTTTATGTTCAAATGAATCGTAAACATTATGTTTATATTTCTTATTAAAACATCTTATAATTAATTTAATAAAATTTATATTTTTTTTAAATATAAAATTAAAAAATGTTTCATTAAATACAAAAAAAATTTTTTTTTTTTAATTAACGGAGAAAACGGATCTTTTTATAATAATAATATTTACACTCTACTAGGGTCAGTTGGGGTAAATGGGGACAAAATCGCTATTTTTCACAAATTACATAAGTTTCTTCCTTTAAGGGTATGTGGGCAAAGGACGTTTTTTGTGGTTTGAAACTTTCTCTGAAATAAAAAATGATTTCGGGTTAAAATTTTGAAGAAATTATTTTGTTTGGTACAAGGAATCTCGCTGTTCTACTCATTTGCCATAACTTAACCCAAAAATAATAAAAATAAAGCAAAAAATAGTAAAATAATGTATTATATCATAGTTCATTCAGCAGCCACTCGCTCGAATTGGCGATGTTTACTGGAGCACTGACACACTCAAGCAACGTCTGTGTATGCGCCGCCATGTTTCTTTTCATTTTCGTTTAAAAATCACACGTTTTAAACTTCATTTTTTAATAATTTAACACAAAATTATGTATTTTTTTCCTTGTACCCTAATCTATCATCCCTCAAAATTGTAGACAAAAATCTTTTTTCATTTTAGAGTAAGATGTATATTACCAAAACACATATTCCCATACTAGGTCACGTGGGACGTTCCCAAATACCCTTAAAAGGTAATACTTGCGTGTTTATTTTTTTTAAGTTGTAATTTACATTTCCAGGATTAATTTTATGGATCAGAAAAAAATTTAGATAAGCTTTAAACGCATGAAACTTACTGTCCCCATTTACCCCAAAATTTAGAAAATTTCATAAAATTTGGGGTAAATGGGGACAGCATAGTTTCTAAGAAAGTTTGCAGAAAAAAGATTTCTTAAGTATATTACTGTATTAAGGGATGAAAAAACTTGAAAAAAAATTTGTAGTAGATGTATAATAGTTGCACCAATTGAAATTTTTATTTTTTTTTTATTTCAGTATTTTGTCTCGCATTTGAAAAAAAAATCATAGCAAATTTTTTTTTTTTATTCCTTATGACTCCCATAACAGAAATTCACTTGAATTTTTCATTTTTCTTAATTTGGGTAATAATGACAAGCTGTCCCCATTTACCCAAAAAATTTGAAAACTCAGGGTAAATGGGGGGACAGCTTGCCATTATTAACCAAATTGACAAAAATCAAAAATTCAAGTGAATTTCTATTATAGGACTCATAAGGAATAAGAAAAAAATTTTGTATGATTTTTAAGTCTGTTTTCATTGAAATGTGAAGCAAAATACTGAAACTGTTTGACTATGATTTTCAAGTTTTTATGCATTGAGCGATAACTTTTTTTATCTTGCTGCCAATTGTCAAGATAAAAGCTTGGCAATGCTCAAAACCTCTTTCAAGTGATCTGAGGTTAAAATTTTGACGTTGAACTTAATTTTAAAACTGTAAATTAAGCTCCAAAACCTCTTGTCCCCATTTACCCCAACTGACCCTATATTTTTTCCTTTGTCAATGGTACACTTTTTTCATTCTTTGTTTTACACTCTATAAGAAATTTAAATTAATTATTTCGATAGTTAATTGTGTAATATGCAAAAACAACAGAGAAAAATGAATATCGATAAATAAATTTGACATTTAAAAATGTGTAATTTGTGTTTATTTGTGGTTATTTTCACGTAAAAGAACATAGCAATTTGTCAATACCAATTTCACTTGAAATAAAATATATTTAAGATGTTTAATAAAATTATGTTTTGAAAAAGTTTTTTAAGAGTTTTAATTATAGGGTTTCTTACTTATAAAAATTTAAAATTTATAAAAATGATTGTTTACTATTTTAATATTTTTAATTTCTTCTAGAGAGATACAAAATTTACAGTATTTAAAATTTTTATGTAATTTATAAAAAATTGTTAAAATCAATTATTTCTATTTTTTTTGGATAAGTTGAAATAAGTTTTATTAAATTAAAATAATAATTTATTCCTAATTTTATTTTTAAATTTGTTAAAGTTTTACAAGGTTAGCTCACCGAATAATTTTATTACTCCTTGAAAAACAATTCATACAATTATTAAAAATGATTAAAATTTAATATAACATAACTCAAATATTTTTAAATAGTTTAATTATTTTTCTCTTCGAAATTTTTTTTTTACGAATTATTAATATTAAGATAGCTGACTAATTTTTAAAACTTCTCAATTACTAAAAATTTAAAATTCATATGAATTAATAAAAATGTACTAATTTATTTATTATAATATATAAATTAAATATGTTTAATCGTTTAAATTAATTTTTTCTGCAATTAAACATTTCTTTTCAAAAAATTGATTAAAACCGATAAAAGATTGTACCTTCCTGGAGGGTAAAACTGATTATTTTCATTCAGTCACTTCGAAGGTAGTAATTTACAAACAATAGAGGATTGTCCTATAGTTAACACTGAAATTTTGACAAGTTTTACACTCCTCAAGATAAGTTTAATTATTCTGTTTTCTCTGATATATCTGACAATAATGAATTGAAGAAAAAACACATTTTTGCATTTATTTATGCTAGATAAATAGAAAAAATAAAGTTATTTATAAAATGACACAGTACTATTACTAAGTCTTTATAATTGCCTAATTAATGGAACAACATTATTATTAAATTATTACTTCTCTTCCTGATAGTAACAATTAAATGATAATTATCGAACGACTGCACATCATCTATAATGTAACATATTATTTGAATCTAAGAAAATAAAAAAGAATCAAATCCATCAATTTACTATAATTAAAATGTTAAATTAATTATAAAAGAGACCGATGCGTTATGGAACACTGTCAATTTTTGTTGATTATCTTCGTCATATTTACATTTATTAAAAATGTATCTTGAAATAAATTTATTCTTATATGCAGTGAAATAGAAATATATTTAAATTAGACACAATAATCAGAAATGTTGCGATAATGTATTTAATATTCTTTAAAACTTAATATCAAAAATTTCTATTTAAAAAAAAAAAC